TGGATGCTGGGCGGGCATCAGACCCAGGGATGCTGCAGCGTCGTTAAACCAGAGCGAGGCGGTGGAGGAGCCCTCGGTGGGGGAAGCAGCACCAGAAGCCAAAGTCCGGCCCTAAACAAAGCGCTTTTGTGCTCCCGCCGGAGAGGGAGCAGGGATGGCTTCCTGCCGCCCCGCTTTTGGGGCTGCTTCCCTCTTCCTCCGGGTCTGGAAAATTGGTCATTTCTTGTCAGGTTATTGTTCATTTCCCACCCGCTAATGACTCCGCTCCCGCCAGCCGTGCCCGGCCCCGGAGCCCAGCGAGCATCACGGCCGCCCTGCCGAGCAGGGCCGTGACGGAACCTGAGATGAAGAGGAATATTTTCATTAATAAACTTTCAAAAGGCAATGCAATGGAAACTTTAAAAAGGAGAGAGGAAGAGGAGCCGATGTCCTGCCCGGCGGCCCCAGGGGAAGCAGCAGGAGCGATGGGCAGCACTCGGCTCGTTCTATCAGGGCACACAAGCAAGCAAACAGCATCAATAGGATTTAAATTTTTGGATTTGGATGCCTTTCTGTTTTAATCACCCAAGATGAGAGCCAGGTAAACAAGGCTGGAGCCCTGGTGCCAATCCAGCAGAGCTTTGCTGGATTCACGGACTCGGACATCAGAGCTGGCTTTTAATGAACCAAACGCTGTCGCTTTATCATGAAGTGCTCGGGATGGGGAAACAAAGATGGATAATTTCCTTTCCCTTCAAATATTGGTAGCCCAAAGGAAGACAGGCCTGCCCCACGCTATCCCACCCACTGCTATTTACGGATCACGATGCAGTGGTGCCCAGGGACCCTGGGCTGGTCCCGTCTTGTTCGGTGTCGTCCAAACCCACCCGGGGAGCGCGTGGAGCTGCATCCCTGGCGCAAGGCAGCCCCCGGCCTCCCCACGCCGCTCCACGGGCTTGGTCTACACAGGCTATTACGGTAATTTGATAAGCCAGTTCTTCGTGATATGAATCTTCGCCTTCGTTAGAGGGAGAAAAAAAAAATAAAAAACACAACATTGCATTTTGATGGCTCACAGGGACAGTTCATTAAGCAATCAACTCTTTTAATGAAATATTTCTTTGTTAAAATATTCATTGATCTGCCGCGGAGAAAGGGAAGGACCGTGTCCCAGATGCTTTTCTGTTGAGTCTTCCCAAGCACGCGCCTGAAACAGAGGGTTGTGCCCCGGCGTCGCAAACACGGCAATCCCCACAGCACCCTCGGCAGCCGCTGGAACCCCAGCCAGGGCGTTCTGGGTGCGATTTTCCCCCCTCCTTTATCACATTCTT